TCACAAGCTTTCTGAAGACATGTTTGAAGGTAAAGTAGTTTGCTGTCATTTCTAGAGGACCTCTAAGTTTCCTCTGAAATTAAGATCTTATAGTAGTAACCACATAAGCTATTTGAAAAATACCACTTCTGTGCTAGATTTTCATTTATATATTCATTCAACAGATCATATTGGGTACTTACTCTTCCCCAGCCATTGGGGATATAATAGTGATACAAAAAAAAGAGGTCACCAGGTGCAGTGGTGCACATCTGTAATCCCAGGGAGGCTGAGGCAGGAGGTTCAAGTTCAAAGCCATTCCCAGCAACTTAGAAAGGCCCTAAGCAACTCAGTGAGATCCTGTCTCTAAATAAAATATTTAAAAGGGCTGGGGATATGGCTCAGTGGTTAAGCATCCTTGAGTTCAATCCCTGGTACAAAAAAAAAAAACAAAAAACAACAACAAAAAAACACTCTCTGCTTTTGGGTGGCTCATAGTCTGATAGGGAAACAGCCATTCAAATAAAACCAAACCTGTCATAGTTGCCATAATGAAAGATTACTATATGGGAGTTGAACATGGAAGGGGTTTGGCCTGTATAGCAAAATCAAGACGGTTGTCATGAGGAAGTGCAGACTGAGTAGATGTTAAGTTGATAACCTGATGAGGGAAGGAGACAACAACGGGAGTCAAGTTTCCAGGAAGGTCAATTTGGTTACTGCAGAAGAAGCCAAAATGAGGGCTGAGCAGAAGAGGCTGCACATGAAGGAAGGAGCCCTGTCATATAGATCTTTAATCAGAATCTACGATCACATATTTTCACCCAGCTCTATGACTTAGACAACACCTTCATTTTGTGGAATACGGAAATCAAGCTCAGTGAACTAAGGAAATGGCCCAGAGTCACAGAGCTTGTAGGTGCCAGGGCTAAGGCTAGAATAAGACGTACTGCTTCAGGATTTGGACGTTCAGTGATTTATAATCCTACATTGATGCACATTCCAGTAGAAGTTCTCTCTAAACGACACATGAAGGGTGCTTTTATTCTGTGGTTCCAGGTTCTAAGTCTCTGCTCCACTGCAAACTGCGCACCAGTGGAGGAAGATGCCCTGCTGTGATTGGTCTCCTTTACCCATGAAATAATACCTTCTTTTCAATTTTCTAAACAGATATCAGTATCGAGCGCTCCCTTGGATGACTTTGATGGCATCTGATCCCAAAATAACATAAGTAGTTAACAGTGTTTCATTCATATAAGATTTTTTTTTCTTGTTTATTGAGTAGGAATCACAACATTAGTTGTTTCTTATGTACTGGGCATTCAGCTAAAGCATAATACGCATATGATCTCCTGGTGACCTCCAAGAGCAACCTAATGAGATGGACTATGAGGCTACGAGCCACCCCAAAAGCATAGAGTGATGTTATTCCCTTTTTATAAATAAGGAAATTGAGAACCACCAAGTTTAAATGACTTGTCTTTGGTCATGCAGAGATGAGGTTTGAATCCAAGAAACAAGTTAGACTCCAAAGGCAGATTTTTAAAGTCCATGTTTCAAAAATTCAACTCTAAAACGAGAAACGGTGTTTGGAGAAAATCAGTGAGATAAGAAAATCCCTAAAAAGGTTACATGCCATTATGGGCTATGATTCAACAACAATTATATTGTTAAATAAGAAAGAACTTGTCATAAAAAGATTCTCTGCAGCTTTGACACCAATTACAGATGCTTTAGGAAATTGGTGTGATTTCCTAAAT